GACCCCATATCAAATGTCAGGAGCAGGGCTTGCCCCCGGGTGTCGTCGACGAGGCACTGAGAGAAGGGCAGGCCCTGGGCCAGAGCTGGTCCGTGCTGGATGCCCGCGGGCATGTGCCTAACCACTGCCTGCGAGGCCCAGCTCGGGAAGCCTGCTGTGTGGCTGGCTCTGTCCTCCACCCCCTCAACATTCCTTCAGCTTTTCACCCAGATGCGGGAGGTGGAGCAGAGCCAAGCACTGAAGTGCAGCCCACCGATGGCCTCGCTGATGGCCAACTCCAGACGTGAGTCATGGCAGCAGAGGCTTCCCAGGAGGAGGGGGTGGGGCAGGAGGGGGGAAAGGTGGAGGAAGGGGAGAACAGTAGAAGGAAGGGGAGGGAGCAAGGGCAGGGCACCCCCTCCACCCGCTCTGGGCACGGGCATGAGGTCACTGACCAGCAGCATGCCAGGAGAAGAGGCTGGGGATCCGGGGGTCCGGGAATTCAGAGGCAGATAGGAACAGCCCCACTGTCTCTCTGGTCTTGCCTCCCCCACAGACTTGACACCCTCCAGAATCAGGAGAAGAACCTGGGCTTCAGAATGATAATCCGGGGTGGCTCTCATCGCTGCCACTCTAGCAAGGCCCTTCTCCTGGCCGTGGTTTCCTTATCTGTGTGCTGTGGGGGTGGAGGGGAGACTGGGGTATGGGCTGAGCAGGCGTGCGCTTCTGGGAGCTCACAACAGGGAGGGTCTCCCCTGCACCCACCCGGACGAATGGAATGTTGCTGCGAGCTTGGTCTGGGGAGGCCTGTCCCCTGCAGCCAGACCTGGGTGTCACCAGTGGCGATCGTGATGATGCCACTAGATAAGAATATTTTGAAGTGCATATGTTTTTCGCTCCTGGTATGTCAGAGCAGAAGCCAAAAGAGGCCCTCGAATATCAAAGACTCTGAGGTATACCCTGGCCGAGAGAACGCACAAGAGTAGAGCCAGCGGGCATCACGCCTAAGGACACGGCATAGCCACAGAAGGTGGCCAGTGTCTGTGACTGTGGCCGGGAGAACTGCAGGGCGCCGTGACTACCCAAGTGTGTGTGTGTGCCCGTGCCGGGGTCACGTGTCTCAAGTGGAGGAGGAAGGCCCCAAGGACTACAGGACTGGAGTCTCTAGTACCAGGGAGACCCTCATGGAAACAGTCACCATCACGGAGAGTTTACTGTGTCCCTAGGGACCAGGGACTTCCAGTGCCTCATCTCATTGACTCCTCGCGGGTGGGTAGTGTATCACACCCTCGTACAGGTGAGGGAAGCAAGGCTCAGAGAAGTGAAGCAACTCGGCCCAGCTCACACAAGTAGGAAAGGGTAGAATGGATCTAGAACCCCAAGAGGACTCCAGAGTTAGGGGTCTCAACTTGTAGGCAATGCTGTTGCCCAAAGAGGTGCCAGCTCCCAAGGGCATGGGTGACCTGGCAGGGACCCGAACACCAAAGGGCATAAGGGGGTCACTACCCAAAAGGCTTCTTCCCTAAGAGATGGCGTTGCAGACACATGCTTGGACCCCACCAGAGAGCAGGCGGGATTGGTGGACCCTTGAGAACATTGGCTTGGACAAGTGGCATTCCAGCCCTCCGGTCACCTGCAACCTTTGTTCCAAATTGACTGAGAATGAACTTCCTCTGCCCAGAGGAGCGGGGCTCGAGATAGAGATTGTGTTGAAATAAAAGCCCCTCGAGCTACTGTCCTCCTGCCACTGAGCCACCCCACGACTTCATGAGGCACACACCGCAGGCGGGCAGCAGGCTGAGAACGGCCGGAAGGAGCTGCCCCATGGCCTTCCCGGCCACCCCGACACACTGTCATTTTCTCCATTTTACACACAGGGAAGCTGAGCCTCACTTGTCTGCAACCGCGTGGCAAGTGCTGGAGGGGACGTGAACCAGCCGGGCCTGAGTACTCTTTGCCCTGCAGCGCTCCCAGGCACTCCCAGGGTTACCGGCAGGGGGCTGGATCAGGAGGGTACACCCCCCTGAGGGCGCTGCCCGGTCCTGCTCCTGGACTCTAACACCTCTTTCTGGCCTGAAAGCCTTGGTTTATATGCACTCGCCCTTTGGCTCAGCCAGTGTTGTCTGAGCACCAGGCACTCAGGGGAGTCAAAGAGAACAGGGGGTGAGATTTGGGGTAGGGAATCCAGGAGGGAGGTGACAGCAGTGTCGAGGGGAAGATGAAGGGCCGTGAGCCAGGCCGATGGGAGGATGGAGGACCAGAAGAGGTGAGACGAAGGAGGGGACTTGCTACCTGGGCATAGGAGGGACAGAGGACACCCCCAGGGCAGCAGGAGGCTGGTACTACCTTAAGCAGAAAGAGGTGGGGAAGGGAGGTTGCTGAGTTTCAGGCGGTGTTAGTGTTCAGACACCACAGGCTCTGAACGGGGAGGCTTTGGAGGGTCAGGGTCATTGATTTGGGGGTCAGGACCCGTTAGATGCTAATTTGGTGTCCTCATGGGGCAGGCTGGAGCTGCAGGAGCGCTGGGGGCGGCCCTGGGGCCTCTGCTGTGAAGCGTGAGAGCAAGAGAAGAGCAGACGCCGAGTCCTGCCAAACACCAGCGTTCAGGATGCGGGAGAAGCAGGAGTGTCTTGCAGGTGAGCACTTGCTGACGGAGTCGGTTTCCAGAAAGATGCTGTTGGCCAGCTATATTAAATTCATCAAGGGCTCTAGGAAGATGAAGACTGAGCTGTGGCCGCCGGATTTGGGAAGTGGGGCGTGGGAGGTGATGTGAGGGGAAGGAGCACCTGGAACGTGAGGGAAGAGGAGGCTGAGCACGTGGCCTCCCGAGAGCCAGGCCTGAGGTCAGAGGGGTGGACAGGAGGCTTGTTCCCACTCCTCTCCCTCCTCCTCCTCTGCCTTTTTCCACCAGGGAGACACTGGATGTGATTAACATGGAGGGGAAAGACCAAGCGAGCGGGAGGAGAGTTGCTGGCGGCGTGGGAGGGGATGGTTGCTTTGAGCAGAGTGAGTGTCCATGACTCCATGTCTTCATCTTCCTAGACCCCAGTAGAGCTGACCAACAGCGTCTTTCTGGAAACCGACTCCATCAGCAAGTGCTCACCTGCAAGACACACCTGCTTCTCCCGCATCCTGAATGTTGGTGTTTGGCAGGACTCGGCGTCTCCTCTTCTCTTGCTCTCACGCTTCACAGCAGAGGCCCCAGGGCCGCCCCCAGTGCTCCTGTAGCTCCAGCCTGCCCCATGAGGGTCTGCAGGAGAGGGGATCCCGAGGGAAAAAGAATGGGCTTGGCCGGTGGAGGAACTCCTGCCCGCTGAGCCTGGAGCCAGGCCCTGGGGACCGCGGCTGCTCGGGTGAACCTGCTAGCATCGGGCCGGAGCTGAGGAGTCTCTGCTCTAGACCCGTCTCTCGTTGATGTGGGAGTCCGTGATCTGGCATGAGGATGAGAAGGGTGAGACGGAGGCTCCGGGAGCAGAAGTTCGGGGTGACCCTATGGGTGTGGGAACAGCTGCCGCAGACACAACCGCAGATTTCAGGGCAATGTGGCGCCCCCCTGGGCTCCAGTGTGTGGGGCCAAGGGCTCCTTCGCCAGGACCTGAGGGCAGGAGAGTGAGTGGCCGGGCAGGGGGAGGGCAAGCAGGCAAGGGGCTCAGGGAAGATGGTGAGTGGGGAGCTGAGGGGACAGCTGACCAGACCAAGACAAGGCACAGGCTAAGTGCATGTGCAGGAGTGTGGTTCCATGCACGCAAGCAGCCTCCACCGTGGAGACACAGGGGTGCACTCATGGCAACCCGTTGGTAAACAGGAGGAAGCTACCAGAACATGTGTCCATGACGCCATGTCATCTTGTTAAAGTTCTGTCTTCATTTGCGTGTTACTCTGTGCCCATTACATGAACATGGGTGCATGGGCATAAATATTAAATAAATATGCCCATAGCAGGGGGTGGGCATTATTTCCTGATTGGGCATGGGTTTGAACAGGTGGGAAACCGTGGATGAGAAGGAGGTGCTCCTTGGAGAGGCACCTGAGGGACACTCTCGTCTGCTCTTCTCTCCCTCGTCTCCTGTCATCACTGTTCAATACATTCTGAAGCCCGGGAACGGCCCACCTCCTCCGCCCCACACTGCTGCCCAGATTGTCTCCTGTGCCTGGGCCCAGGGCCAGTTCTCTCCCTGGGCAGCTCTTGCTTAGGGGCTCTCTGGTCAGCCCCAACTTGAACCTCACAGGATGACTTCCCTACCCCCAGCCCCACCCAGGGCTGAGCCTGCCTCTTTCCCCTGTCACACAGTAGGTGGTGAGTGTCTGCTGAGACAATGAAGACAGGAGAACTCTGCTCTCTCACCTCACATTCAGCTCATTAGTACCATTGATTAGCTATCCCTTCAGAATATTCTGGAATCTGAGGACACATCCTCTCCCAGCACGGTTCTGCTCCAGGTCTCTAAAACCTCTTGTCTGGTGGCCTCCTCCTTGGGCTCCCTGCACCCCCTCTGCTTCCTACAGTTATCCTGTTAAAGCCCAGTCAGGTGTGTCTTTTCCTTCTCAGAACCCAGCCATGGCCCCCATGATGCACACAGCAGGAGCCAGAGTCTTCCTGTGTCCCCCAAGACCAAATATGGTCTGCCGTCCCTCGCTCCAAGACCTTGTCTGGCTCCCCCATATCCCTCTTTTTCTCTGCTCCAGCCACGCTGCTGCCCTCCTGTTCTCCAGGCCGCCGGCCTGTCTTCCCACCTCACAGCCTGTGTAGTATTGCCTGGCCCGAGGTCAGCTGGCCCACATTCAATGGGTTTCTATCAGAGGTATGAATGAATAGCAGTTGGAGAGCCAGGCCTCCAGTTCTGACCCTACCCACTTTTGCTGTGTGACCTCAGGCCCGTCCCTGCCCCTCTCCGGGCCTCATTCCAATCTGTACAATTCAGAGATGAGTATCCCAAGGGCCTGGCCCATGTGCCCAGGGAAGGCCCGGGAGGTTGCTCACCTGCCCACCACCACTCATCCCCTGCAGGACTCGCCCTTACCTTCTGCAGCCACTGCGTGTTGTTCTCCAGCACCTTTTCCAGCTGTCGCACCCGCTGGTTTGACCAGTCTCCTAAATTCAGCACAGCGGCTGGGGAGTCCCTCTGGAGGCTGTTGGAGCCCCCAAAGACCTCAGGTTCTGGCGGGCAGGGCTCTGGCTCAGGCAGCACGAAGGTGTAGCTGCACTGACCATGCTGGACCCGGTGTGCCCGGCGCCGCCCGCCCGCCTCCTGCCCCCTCCGCTGGGCTGTGGTCACGGTGGCCACAATGAGGAGGAGGCCACCCAGCAGCATGGCTCTCCAGGACAGCATCTGGAGATCTGGCGATGGCGAGGGGTGTCCGGCCAGAGCCCCCGGGGACTTCGCCTGCCGAAGGCTCTGTGCCCAGGCTCCGTGCCCAGGATGTGCCCTCCGTGGCCCTGAGGGGACAGGCCTGCCCTCCGGGCTGCTGCAGCTGCAAACCCCTGTTTGACCAGCTCAGTCCAGGCAGCTATTTATACTTGCTCCAAATACCACAGCTGCTCAGCTTCCTCCCACTGCCTCCTGCTCCCGCCCCCAGGCACCCCCTCACCTCTATTCTTCCCTCTTCCCTTCCTTCCTGCTCACTTCTGCCCCAGGGCTGCTGGTTCACGCCTGGCCTGGCCTTGCTCTAGCGGCTGGTTCTCCCTGGCCTCTGCATCCATTTATTAACCAAGGTGGGGGTCTAGCCTCCCAGTGAGAGGGGAGGCCAGAAAACACTCCCCATACACATACATGCGCACGCACACACATGCACACTCACACACACAAATACCAATCCCACAGTGCCGCCCTTTCTGAAAATCAAACACAACTGAGTTCTCTCTCTTCCTGTCTCTGTCTTTCGGTCTCTCTCTAACCTCCCCCCACTGAGGCTGGGATCTCAAGTTTCAGTCCCCACGCCTCCCCTTCTCTCTCCCTCCACCTTCCCCCCTCCGGCTCTTGTTAGTGCTTGGAACACAAGAGAAATGACCCCCAGAGAGCACAAAGGGAGGGGAAGGGCAGAGGGGTGAGGCCAGGGAGGAGGCAGCCAGCTCAATGTGTTCCTCGAGAAAAATCCTTGTAAGACCAGGGAGTGGTTGCCCCAGCAGGCGACTGGCTCTAGTCTTCCTCCTCCCTTGGGGCCTGGGGACATACCCCTGGGGGTGCCCCGGCTCTGTGGCTGTCTCTGTGGCTGTGACAGTAACAGGTCGTCCTTGTGGCAGATTGTCCTGGGGTTGCCTCTGGCTAGAGTGGGGAAAGAAGTTGGGGTGCAGCAGTGTCCCGACTGGTTGAGGAGTCAGAAGCAACTGGCTCCAAATCCCCCTTTTCAACTGCTGGCCTTGGGAGAGCAACTTCTCCTCTCTGGGCCTTCATATCCCCATCTGTAAGTCAGGGGGACGCCATCTCTCCCCTGAGGAATGTGTGTGAGCACTCAGCATGGGGATAAAGAATTTTGATCTACTTGATTACCTGATCTACTTGTTTACCTAGTCAAATCCTGGCTCTGCCACTTATAAGCTTTGTGACTTTGGGCAAGTCACTTAACCTCTCTGTGCTTCCTTTTGATGAACTGAATTTTTTGGAACTGAAGGTGTGAAAATTAAGTGACTTAGCTCAGTGCTGGCATGGGGTGAGCACTAAATAAGTATCTTTTATTGCTGTTGTCAGCGTCACAGTTAGTATGTATCTCCCCTCCTCCAACCTGCAGGAATGTAAAGCCCAATGGGTAGGGATTTGGCACCCAGGAGTTGGTTGGGCCTCCCCCCGGAAGGCTGCCTTCCGCTACTCTGCTCATTTTCCCAGAGTGGAGGCCAATCTGGATGTTGGGTATTGTTTTTCTCCCTTTGTTTTCCCAAATCCTGGTGGAGTTTTGAACCCAGCAGGCTGCTCGAGGTGGCGATTTAGGGGCTCATCCGGGGGCCTGACAACATTAAACCAGGTGTGTGGAGCTTTGGCAGGAAAAGGAAAGGCAGCTGGTTATCAGCCACCGGCATTCTCCAAGCTTCCCTTGTGCTTGCTCAGAGCTAGGCTTGCCCAGCTCTGCCTCAATTGTCTCCACTGTAGATAGCGTCACGCCTCCTCTGACCTTTCGAGGAAGAAGCTGTTTTGGGGTCATATGTTTATTGCAGTGCCTGGCACAGATGCACCAGAGGAAAGGGCGCTGTCGTTGGGGTTGTGTCAGATGAGCTGCCTTGATCCCACCGAGGCCCGTGTCTCACTTTCCTCACTTTGCAGAGAAAACGGAAGCAAGCCCAGAGCAGGACAGCGATCTGCCCAGAGCCACATGGCCTGGAAGTGCTGGGCCTGAAACTGGGGAAGGAGGGCAGCTGAGCGGCCAGGCACACCCTGCCTTCCCACTTACTCCGTGCCCCAGTCAGTCTCCTCATCTGTGCACTGGAGAGAGATTTTTTTTTTTTTTTTTTTAAATTTTAACTTCGGGGTTATAGTTTTGCTCTTCCAGATGTGCACATGTTCCACTCACCCTCCACCAAAACACCTCCCGTTCTGCTATTAACCTCCTTGTGGGGTCTGGGGGCACCCCTTGTCCAGAATGTCATCAAGATGACAGTGGAAGCTCCTGGGACAGGTGATGCATTTAATCTGAGTAAAAGAATGAATAAGAGTGACAAGTCATTTCTTTCCTGCTCAAGTTTAGTTAATCAGACTTCACTTAATGGGCATGGGGCCTTCTGCACAGAAGAGGAAGTAGGAGACATGAAGTTAGGCTCAAAGGAAGAGATCTAGAAGGCCTGGGAGCTGCCCTGCCCACCTCTGAACCTTCATTTCAGTGTCTCTCTCACCTCAGGACCTTTGCACAAACTGCCTTCTACATGCAGAACACTGTTGTCCATCCACCCTTACTCCCACCTTCATCAATGTTCCCGTTACTGTGGCTGCCAATAAATTGTCCCAACACTCAATGTCTTAGAACAGAAACAACCACATATTATCTCTCAGGTTTCTGTGGATTGGGAATTTGGCAGCAACACAGCTGGGCCGTCTGCTCAGATCTCTCATGAGATCCCAGTCAGATGGCAGCTGAGCTGTCAGATGGGGTTTGAGACTGGTGACTACTTAGCAATATTCCTTCTTTGAAGAATTCCGTTAAGTGGGTTAACACAGAGCGTGGAGAAAACCTTGTGCCCACTAAGTAACAGCCCATAATGGCATCCTTAGCCCCCTGTCACTTTCTTAGCCCAGGGTGCTTCCCCTCTTGCCAGGGAGGAATAAGAGTCTCAGAACTGAGCTCTTGTTCATCCATCTTTGACGCTGCAGTCAGAGGGGCTTTTTAAAACATGCACTCCGGCCCCCAAATGCTTTGCTTAAAGCCCTTCGAGCCAGAACTCCAAGCTCTTTGTGTGGCCTCCCGTTCCCTACGGGGTTTGGTCTCCAGCCCTATCGCGTGTTCCTAGGACTCTGTGCTGAGGGATGCAGGTAGTCTTGCTTCCACACACAGCTCTCTGCTGCCTCCGGCCTCAGTGCCTTTGCTCTCGGTAACTGCTGCTTGGACCCGCGGGCGCACCCTCACTCCTTGGCTTCGTCTTACCTGTCTTCCGGGTATTATCTCATGGGTGACCTCCTCTGGGAAGATTTTCCCCACCTGCCCTCTCCTTTGGTGGGAGTCTCGCCTTCACCTCCTGGATTCCAAGGCTCCCTGCCTGTGCACCCGCATGGAAACACTCAGCCTGCCTGGTAACAGCATGCTTGCCGCTTTACCCCCGGCTAGCCCGAAGCCCACCCAGCGCGCTGGCCACGCTTTTCATTTCTGCGTCCGTTGCCTGTACTGAGGTTAGATTCATAGTGAATTCTCATGAGTGTTGAATGATTAGTCTTCACTACAGACAGGATTGAGGCTGGAGCTGCAGTCCCAAAGCAGAGACTAAGTAAGTCACTCTTTCCTTTCCAGGACAGGGATAAAAGGAAGCTTCTGTTTGGGGAATTTCAAATGTCTTGTCTCCAATTACTTAAAACCACTCCCTTCTACCCCTAGTTTATTTTCCCCTTGCTAGTCAGTTGTAGCCAGAGAGGAAAAACACGACCTAGCATTCAGCACCCAGGTTAGTCTCAGTCACATGGGCTTCAGACACAGCTGCCTCTCCTCTTAGCAACATTTCTCTCTCCCTGCCGGCCTCAGTTTCCCCTCTGAACTTTGGGAGGGCCCTGGTTGTGAAGCCCCAGCAGCAGAGAGGACCAGGGGAGAGACAGGCATCTTTTTGGCTGCACTGCCCGGGCACTGGCCACGCCTGTCCTTTCTCAGGCCCGGGGAGCTGGGGCCTCTGGGCCTGCGTCTGGCACTCACTCTAGGACGCAAAGAATGAGCCCGCCAGGTCGGAGGTCAGATCTATTTTGGAACCTAGGACCCCTCGGAGGCCCAGAGGAGCCTGTGACCCAGAGAATCCACAGGCCCCTCTGTATTTTGTTTATTTTTATTAAACAAGCACAGTGTGTCCCTTGTAGAAAAGTCAGAAATCCATATTAGCAATTGGTGGGGGGGCGGGGGGCGGGAAATGTTGCCTGTGTTCTCACCAGCCAGAGGCAAAAACCACTGCTAAGCTTTTAGAGTATTTCCCCCCCCCCCCCCCCGATTGTTTCCTCTACATATGGGTGCGTATATTTTAGGATGGGTTTTCTAGCAGAAAAACAAAACCATTTTAAATTTTATTTTACTTCTCCAGGATGAATCTTTGGAAGAAAAGGATCAGAAAAATGCTCAGTATAACATAATACAACCCACATGCCCTTCACCTCAATGGGTGCATGTTAACATTTTGCAAGTGTATTCCAGATTTTTAAAAATATGAAATATGATTACAGGTAAAGTTGATATCCCTCACAGCTCCTTCTCAGTCTTGTTTTCTCTTCCTCCGTGTCCATGGGTTACATATATATCCATTAATGATACCTACTATTTTTTATTTTCTAAACTTAAATATATGCTATTAATCTGTATGCACTGTCCTCTTGTGCACAGTTTTCCAGATCTGTCCAAATCACACATGCAGATTTGGACAGTGAAAGGTTATTTTCCTTTCCTGGCTCTGCAGCTCTACATCGTCTCATTATACTACCCTTTAATTCTCCAACCCCTGGCGGGTGAACATTTGGGTCCATTCCAGTCTTCTGTTATTCCCAATGAGGCGATCTGATTATTCACAAACCCTATGCCCATGAATTAGGGTTTCTCTCAGGCACCAATGGAGGAGCGCTCTTCCTGGGACATGGCTACATGCATTGTCAGCTTGAGAAAATTGCCAAATCGTGCCACCAAGCAGCTGTAGCAAGTTATCTCACACCAGCAGAGCGTGAGGGCTTCCATAGCTCTGCACCCCGGATGCCACTTGCTATGATGGGGCTTGACTTTGTGGCATCTGGCAGTTGTGAACGGTGCATGTGCTTTCCAGCATGCTTTTCCTACCTAACCCTGTGTTATGAGCTACTTTTCTCCGCAGAAGTGTCTTCTGTGAGCACATGTTGGGTGGTGGTATAAACCTCCACTCGGGCCTGCTGACCTTTCTGTAACTGATTCCCTGTTGTTGGACTCTGGCTTTGTTTTTGTGGTTGCAAAACTGACCACAGATTCTCCCCTTATAGAGCATGCTCCTTCGCACTGTGACTTTTCAGGGCTTCCCATTAAGGGTCCATGTTCCAGCCCTTGAGCTGAGGTTGGTCATGTGACTTGCTTTGACCAATGGGATGTTTTCAAATGGGAGGCTCAGAGGTTGGAGAGGGGTTGAGCATGTGGTAGGCTCTCACCCTGGTCTGGGCCCCAGGGGGACCCCAGCTAGCTGCCTAGATGATGAGGGCCATGTGGCCAAGTCTTCCTGTCACCCTGCTGACCCCCCAGATCCACAAGTAAGGGGAGCCTAGACTACCAGCCCAGACCAGAAGAGA